AAATTACACTTAAAGGTTTTAAAATAATAAAGTTACAATTACATAATATTTCTACTTCAATTCGTTTTTTTGAAATATAAACATAATGGTGGCTGTCATAAAAACTTGATGGGTTTATTCAAACATAAATTAAACATTGAAGAACAGTACAATTTATAATGAATATGTTATATGGTGCATATATTTAGCTAAATGTTTATTTTTCTATCTGACTAATGAGTTTATGGTCACCGAATATGTTTTTTCTGAGGTAAATGTGACATTACGTGACATTGTTTACAAGCCGTTATATTGACGTCTTTGCGCGGCTGAAACACTGATTGAGCGATTACATGAGACGGGATACAGCTTGTAAAGTTATACTCTTTCTTTTAACTTACCTTCGGATGTTTAGTCATGTTTATTTTGTGCTGAAACTGGTATTAATGTGGAGGAGATGATCAGTTCACGTGCGCCTCGCGCTGCCGCGTCTGTTGATCGAGGCGCTACAGTGATCTGTCAATTCACATTAAACAGCGCCAAAACGGCATTTATTGTTTGAATACTGCAATACAATGGAAATCTGAGACTTTGTTTCATATTAAAAGTACCAAAGCACAATGCTTATTGCGATACATTGGCTGGGGAATGCCCTTCAACGTTCCGTCCATTAATTGAAAACAGGCTAGAATAATCGATTCTTGGGATTTAAGAATCGATATCGTTTCATAAAAATGAGAATCGATTAATATCGAGATATCAATATTTTTTTTTACCCAGCCTTATGTACCATGTTATATATACGTTTTAGCATATTTTTTTCTTATTGCTGTACTAGCACCGTGTTGCATTTGAATTTTTAATGTTTTTCTCTTTTGTTGACATTTAGACTGCCAGTATTGCCTACAAAAACTGTTCATAATTTAAAACAAGCAATCCTGAGATGTGTGTTAGTCATCTGTTTGATCAAATGAGGATGTGCCTCATTACTAAGAACCGAATGAAGCTTGCTAATGTCGTTATACTTGTATCCATGACATCAGATTCTCTGTCTTGTTTTAAAGTAATCAAAAGAAGACATTATATCTAGATAAAACTAAAGAAAGGAAGGATTTCATTGTCTTCGTGTTCCTTTTCTAAGTCAAAAAGATAAGGATAATTACTAACCAGCAAGAGTCTCTAATTATGCCAAAGCTTAAGAAAGGAAACCATATGTTACAGACAGTGCTCTTTATTGAAAGCAAAACACTAATTTTGCCTCAGACTTTCTCTCATGACAATGTGTGGTCGCTTAATACTCCCTCTTTGTTTGAACTGTGTGGTCCTCAGCAAGTTCCAGGCCACTGAAATGTAAATTCAGAGATCAAAATGGAAGTGACAAAATGGGTGTGGCTAAGGAAACCCAATTTATTTACATGTAGATAACCCGTCCCTCATGGGCGGTGATGGGGAGTTAAATTTCCTACTGGTAGAGATTAGCAGAGGACAGCAGAGCCGCCGGGGTTTGTGTCCTCAGGAACATTTCATTTCATCATGTTCCATTTTAGCCTAAGCCAGTTGGCCAGCTGAGCTCTGAATGAGAAGCACATGTGAGCGTGAATTAAAGACAAGACCTGGTATTAGTCCAACATTCTGCTGAAAGGGCAGTGAAATATAAACTCAAAGTAAGCTCAGCCAAGACCCCTTGAACTACTGTAAAGCTGTAATGGCTGGGGAGCAGTATTTGTTTAACATTTGTGCACCTTTGTAAAGATGATCATATATATATATATTTTTTTTTTAAATCGCTTATACCATTACACTCAACTACATCAGTTCCATTTTGTTGCTTGTCTGAAGTCCTAAATGTGAGACTTTTTTTTTTTTTTTGCTGGATGACAGCATGCCCAGAATGTTGAGCAGCCTGCTCTTTTTGCCAGCCTGGTGTTAATGTCAGTTTGAGACTAGCTTGACCAGAGAAAATAACACAGCAGGTTGGGTTTCACACAAGTAATGTCACGATTCTGAATTAACTTAAAACTGTTTTCATTTGGGATGCACTGATATGGCCGCCGGGGTTTGTGTCCTCAGGAACATTTCATTTCATCATGTTCCATTTTAGCCTAAGCCAGTTGGCCAGCTGAGCTCTGAATGAGAAGCACATGTGAGCGTGAATTAAAGACAAGACCTGGTATTAGTCCAACATTCTGCTGAAAGGGCAGTGAAATATAAACTCAAAGTAAGCTCAGCCAAGACCCCTTGAACTACTGTAAAGCTGTAATGGCTGGGGAGCAGTATTTGTTTAACATTTGTGCACCTTTGTAAAGATGATCATATATATATATTTTTTTATTAAATCGCTTATACCATTACACTCAACTACATCAGTTCCATTTTGTTGCTTGTGTCTGAAGTCCTAAATGTGAGACTTTTTTTTTTTTTTTGCTGGATGACAGCATGCCCAGAATGTTGAGCAGCCTGCTCTTTTTGCCATCCTGGTGTTAATGTCAGTTTGAGACTAGCTTGACCAGAGAAAATAACACAGCAGGTTGGGTTTCACACAAGTAATGTCACGATTCTGAATTAACTTAAAACTGTTTTCATTTGGGATGCACTGATATTTAAATTCTGTCCAACACCGATAAACTGATTATTATTTTGATACTGTGGCTCATTCTCTGTAAACAAGTGTGTAAAAATGTTACCTTATTTAAAGGCTCATAATAGTAACTTAAGGGTACTCTGAAAAAAATGATTCATTGAATTTACTAAAACATTTTAAGGTAAGTGGTTGCAATCAATTTATTTTAGCTACATTTAAATAAACACATTTATTTGACTAACTTTCAACATATTTTTTTTTAATTAAATGTTGCTAAAAATAAATAGTTTGCGACCACTTACCTTAAAAAAAATTAGTAGCATTTTTTTCAGTGTACAAAGATACTACCATAAATTACTAACATGCACCTTTCATGGGTTGATGAGGTAAAAATTTCCCGCTTTCTTTTCTGACAGTATTGATAACCATTAAATTCTGAAAAATTCTATAGGATTTTGTCTAAATAAAACAAACAATCATTTTAAGGTGTGAAATTTCAGTGAAATTGTGTGCAAAAAACAGGTCAAAAGTATAGAGATATATGAAAGCACATCTCACACAGAAGTTGCTTTCTGCTGGTCAGTGCGGCAAATTCGTGGTACCAACTTGAACATTAGCGAAATCTGCGTGGGGAACTTTTTCACCCTCATGCGAAATCCTGATCGTGTGTATTCCTGTTAGAATGACTGGATTTCACCACCGAAAATTTGCTGAGCAACAGTAAATGAGACTGCACCTTCAGTGTTGCAAGTGAATATTGTTGCTTACATTTTAATGCTAGATTATTTTGTCAATTTTCAACCAGCTTTGCATTACCAGGCCATTGTTGTAAATAAGAATTTGTTCTTAAGTGACTTGCCTGGTTAAATAAAGGGTTAATAATAGTTACAATGTTAATAGTATATGTAAATAAACAATGTGGACTCTTTCTCCACGTTACCTGCACTCCGATATCCTGGTTTATTTGTCAGAAAAAGTCCACTGGATGACACAAAATGACACATTTTTGACAACTCCAAGGCTTTTGTAAAAACTACAGATTGAACTTCCGCATTTTTGTATTCCATTTCCTGCCCACAGACAGTAGGATCAACAGAGAGGCGGCGCTAAAATCAAAACACCACAGCCCTATTTCGCTGTCTTCTGTTTAGCACCTATTTATTTATTCATTCTGCATAGATAGCCAAGTTTTTATTAAAAAACTTATTTTTTTATTAACCCCGACCCCCCCCCCAAGAACCGGTAGCCATTGACTTCCATAGTATTTTTTTCCATACTATGGAAGTCAATGGCTAACATCAACTGTTCGATTAGCAACATTCTGAAAAACAGCAACTTTTGTACTGAAAGGAAGAAAGAAACTAATACAGGTTTGGAACAACTTGAGGGTCAGTGAATGATGACAGAGTTTTCATTTTTTGGGTGAACTGTCCCTTCACGTTTGAGTTTAAATTCAAAGTTTTTGTGTGGGTGTGTGTGCGTTGAGTTGAAAGAAGTGACTCAAGGAGGACTGTTAATGTAGCTGATGTTTGCAGTAATGTGAACAAGCACGTGTGAGTAACCCGATTCGCTGGATAGAGTGTATGTTATGTGATCTCGCAGCAGCGTTGACCACGAGTAACTATCACAGCACATGCATTGTCACCTGTGCTTTTATCCAATTGCTCTACCAAGGAAACCCTGTTCAAAGAATATGCTCCATTGTTCTTACTGTAACCCATCACAGAGATGTCATCATGTAATGTGTTCTGCTTCCTTACAGGAAATTGCACGCCACCTTCGGCCCACCACTTTGCGTGCGCTCTACGGCAAAAACAAAGTGCAGAATGCCGTTCATTGCACCGATCTACCGGAAGACGGGATTCTGGAGGTGAGCTCTAGCAAATCTCATTCAAATGTTATGCAAGAGCCACACAGTCACGTTTTGTATTTAGTCACATTTTGCTCATGTTGAGTAAGTGTGTTCGCCGTCAAAAAAATTCTGGATCCCACAAATGCTTATAAAGCCTAGGACAAAATGGCATCCAGGTCTCATGACTGTCCACTGTGGGCCGAGGCAGACCTACAGCCCGGCTTATCTCACAGGAAGGGAAGCAGGCTGGTAGAGTCGAGTTTGGTAGAAGAAGAAAAAAAGGCATTGTTATGCCAGGCAGTGGGTTTGGCCCGGTGGACGTCATTGTTGTGCACAACTCCTGATCTGTCCAGCCTCCTAGCACAAATGGCCCCTTGTTAATCATTTGCCTGCTGAGTCTGACCGACTCAAAAAAATTAAAATCATAGCACTGAGTTGCCATGGTGACCACTTCAGTCCTCCAGACTAGACACACAGTGCTACACTTAATAGTGAAGGAAAATAATAAGCCTTACACAGAATTGTCAATAGCCCCCGTTTCCCAAATTGCAAGACGATCAAATAAAAAGTCAAAAGGTGATGTAAAAACATATTCCCCACAATCAATGGAAAAGATGAAAAGAAAAGGGGGAAAAAAATAAAAATGTATGAACGGAGTGCAGTCATGTACAAACACACACAGACCTGGGGAGTTCAGAGCGTACCATGCCAGTTTTTCAGTTTTTAAGTAGACGAATATTCACACTCAAACGCTCTCTCTCACACACACACACACGCACACACACACCCCTTGGACCACTAAGGCTTTCTGGCATAAGACAACAGAAATGACAACATGGCTTGGAAAGGACCATTGTATGCGACTACTGCACTGTACACTCCATAAAATATAAAGAGACCACACTAGGCAGAAATATTCAGGGGACAGAAACACTGCTCGCTACATCAGTAGTGGAATTATAATTTACAGTAATAAATGAATGTCCCATGGCTCACGGAATATTCTCATTTACAGTAGAATAAATACTTTGCTATTGCTACTCTTCCTGTAATTTACATTCTAACCCTAGACATGCAGAGAAAGCTAGTGTAAAGCATACAGATTAAGTGTAGGTCCCGTATGTTATGAAACTTTGTTCAAGACTAGTTGTCGTAGTTGTTTTTCCCAATTGAATTTGTACTTGTCTTTATTCATCTAAAATTACTGTGTTTTGAAATGGGCAGAAAAAAAGTGCTATTTTTTATAGCTAAGGTCATGACTTGATGGTGATTTTGACATCGAAACGTCCCTGATAACGGTCCTTCTCGCTGTAATCGATGTTCTGTCCGAATACTTTACACTCTATGCGCATTTCGATACCCACAGTGATGTTGAATTTGACGGCCACCAGAGGCTGGAGGTAATGGGGATGTAGCAGCTTTCCGTAGTAAGGATAATACTGGAGGGGGAAACCAACCCCCAGCCCGAAGTACTCGACTGGTCCAAGATGTTTTGCATCCTCTTCTCTCTGTTAACAACCAGAATTAGTATTAGATCATTCTCCGGAGCACTACGGCACATGGAGTACTGAATTTCACATCACTGTGTATATTTCTTTGCTTAGACTTGACTGGAAAAATAGACTAGAGATGCACTGATATTCTAGTCCATTCTTATAATTAATAATGCATTCCTGTAGCTCAAACAGTAGAGCATGACAAGCCAACATCATGTGTTTGATTCCCAGGAAATGCGAGAATTGATCAAATGTAAATCTGTCCCTTGAATGCAATACATGCTGCTTTGGATTAAAGCATTTGCCACATGCATAAATCTGAATCTACAGTTATACTATAGCTGATATTTGATGCTGTTTTGTCTAAATGTTATAATATACTGTATGAAAAAAGGATATTCATTTTGATATTTGATAAAGATTACATTAAACTGTGTTATTAAATTGCATTTTTATATATATATATATATATATATATATAAGTATAATTATGGTATTCTAAATGTAAAAAAAAAAAAGGCTAACATATATCTCTAAACAAGAATGCCATTTTACCAAGATGCTTTGTAAGTATTTCTTACCTTGTTTGTGCAGTGGATTGGAATCAGATTGCCATGAAAGTTAGAGTGGATTGGCTCAGGGATACTGTCATTGGAAGCTGGAGGCTGAGGAGAGAGAATGACAGTATGATGATACAATCCCAATATTAAGGTAAATGTTGCCTCAAGCTAAGAAAAATGGTTTGCAAGCACCTGATGTATATACAATGGCAGTAAGTAGGTTCATATTGGTGGGATGATCTTGAATAACAAAATAACTCACCCGTGGCCTGAAATTCACAATCCTATTGAGTTTAATGATGAGGCAGGGTTTGCCTTCTTTGAAGCCGAATGTGTCATCTTTCTTTCCTGAGCAATCCTTCAGCCACTCTCTTTCGAAGCGGCAGGCCTTCCTCACGCCGTCACTGCCCTCCAGTTCTCCGCGCTCCGTATAGGATTGGGGTTTGTCTGAACATGAAACACATTAAACCTTATTACTGACTAATACAACTGTATTTGCTTGTCATTACTACAACAGTGTACAGGCATGCAGGACAGCACAATGGGTCAAATAAAGCCCCGATTGTCTACCTAAGCAGTGGCTAAAACACGAACTGTTGACTTGTGAATGAAGATCATATGACACAGAGCTGGGGAGTGATGTAGGAGATCACTTCCTGAACTGTACCCTTTTTAGCTGACCTACTTCATAATACAGCTAAAAGCTTGGGTTTATTGAGACGTGTGTATATATAGCTTAAAGATACTCTTAGAACGTGTTGTACCTCCGCAGTTTTCAAATTTGCTTTCGTCACCCTGGCTGTCTTTTTCGTATGCTTTCAGAAACTCCTTCATATGTTCCACATATGCACTGTAAGTCGTATTATCGCTGATGGAGTAGCTGATCTCTGCTTTGTCCGGGCGTGGGGAGTGTGATAAGCCTGTAAGTAAAGCAGAAAATGTGTAAAGCAGGTTAAATGTGGCCCAACAACTGGTGTCAACCATAAAAATGAGCATTTAGAAGAGTGATTTTCCCTCCAGCTACAAGAGCGGAGAAAGCCTGGTCCATTCATTGTCATGGAAGTTTGCTATTCAGATTCCCAGCTTGGCAGTACTTTTCCACCGGCTCGAACGTACAACCAAAGCGGGGCGTGGCGTGAGCAGAGCCAGCAGAAGAGAACAAGCAAACCTTATATTGCATTTAATGCCAATTTTTGTTTCAACAAGCTGGTAATGACCTTCCGTGCATGTGCTGCAGCTGGTAAAAAAGAGGAGCTTCTAACTTATTGCACATGGGAAGTTTGTGTTTAGTCCATTGGGAAGTTCATTGTGTAATACACTTTTAAGACTCCAGTTAGAGCCTGCGAGAGTCTCCCAGCCTTCCCCCTCCTCCTCTCCACAACCTCACATGCTTCTTTCACACAATGGAAACTTTTAGCCCCTGAGAGGGAGGCGGGACTTTAACGCAGGCAGCATGTCTTTTGTACGTCAGGCCTTCCTTGCAGCAAATAGCTGCACACCATGGTTATCTCCACTTCATTCCTACTCATGTTGTTTCTTTTTAGACTTCAAGGGCCGCCTCTCTTAAAGGGGAAACGGTTCTTCTTGGCAGAGGCGTTTATGTTCAGGGCTTTAACGAAGACAGATAAATGTAATGCCAAGGTGGGAGTGTGCACTATGCAAACATTCACTGGCATGGCTGGTGTGGCGAATGGCTGGCAGTGGACCAACGGGCAACCTAACGGGGATTATGGAAGGTGCAGTGTACAATGCTCTCCACGGTTTCTTTTTTCACGTTTTTAGCTGAAGTTTAATTGCAAAATATTCTTGTTTGTGCAAAACAAGCTTAGTGATAAACCCTGATCCTGTTGTAAACTACTTCAAAGGTATGTTTAAGTGCACTAAAGCCGATACCACCAACCCCGACTGAAATACTACAAGACATACCAGATCAAAGACATGCGAAGTGTGTAAATGCGGAACAACTCTGCTGTAAGAACCCAAACGGGAAGCCTCGTCAGGCTAGCCAGGAAGTGAAGGTCCAAATGGCTTTCTGTGTGCGTGTGTGTGTGTGTGTCTCTCCTTCTCCTCCCTCACACTCCTACCACCTCCACCCTCTCTCGCTGAGGTCAGACAGACCTTTAGAGCTGCCGAAATGTCACAGGGTTTGCAGAAACTAAATTAACTTCCAGCATTATGGAACAGTTTGAGTGCGTGTAAACGAGAATGTCCCCAAAACAGTTTGTTCTTTCCATTTTTCTATATCATTGCTAAAGAATAACATGTCATGTTCCTGCTGCTTCAATTACTTGTAAAAGCCTGTGACGGCTAGGCCTCTTGTGAACCTTGTCAACCAGGTAACAAACAAATCTCGGTTTCACATGCATTTTTAAATATTCTACAACATAACTGTAATGCACAGCTAGACATAAAAACACCTTTCATATTGTGCACGAGATTGTCAACTACACAACAGCATTCTCACAACACTTTCGCATATCGTACTTATCGAAAATCCTGCCAGTCAAAACAACTTTTAGCAGTGAAGTACATGTAGTTCATTCTGTATCTCTTTGGTTTGGTGATTCATTCTCACAGCTTTTATGTACAAATAGTACCCAACCTCTGAACACTTTTGGGCATGTAATATCTTCAACATCATTGGGGTTGGTTCGTTACCTGGGGGTGCAACCCTGTCCTGGTATGTGGGCTTGTAGTTGCTGAGAGTCAGGAGCATGGCCTGGATGGTGCCAATGAAAATTCCAGCCAGGCAGCCATAGAAGATTACATAGAAGATGAAGATTTTGACTGCAAAGAAAAAAATATAAAGCATGGAATCAATGGGATGTATTAGAGCAGCACATACAAGAAGGAAATAACATTGAGTTTCCACAAACATCAAACCAAATGTAAACATGGTCCAGCGTTTAAATGTATCCACTTTCAGTGTTGTTTTGAAGAGCATTTAAAGGGTTAGTTCACCCAAAAATGAAAATTCTGTCATTAATTACTCACCCTCATGTTGTTTCAAACCCGTGAGACCTTCGTTCATCTTCGGAACACAAATTAAGATATTTTTGATGGAATCTGAGAGCTGTCTGACCCTGCATAGACAGCAACGCAACTGAAGAGGAGATCTGTAAAATAATCCATGTGACATCAGGGGTTCATCCGTGATTATACGAAGCTACGAGAATACTTTTTGTACGCAAAAAAAAAAAAAAAAAAAGACTATTCAACAATTCGTCTCCTCCGCATCACCCTGTAGTGCCATTTTGGAGAATATCAGCTGGATGTAAACAGCGTATGCTGTTCTGTGTCAGCTGCGTCACACGGACACGCTGTTTCCGTTCTGATCAAATCACAACAACGTAGGAAACAGATCTGGCGGGACGCAGCTGATACAGAACAGCATACGCTGTTTACATCCAGCTGACATTCTCCAAAATGGCAGGAGGAGACAAATTGTTAAATAAAGTGGTTTTTTTTTTCTTTTGCGCACAAAAAGTATTCTCGTAGCTTCGCATAATTGCGGTTGAACCCCTGATGTCACATGGATTATTTTACAGATCTCCTTGCTACGTTTCTGGACTTGGGAACATTTCAGTTGTATTACTGTCTATGCAGGGTCAGACAGCTCTCAGATTCCATCAAAAATATCTTAATCTGTGTTCCGAAGATGAACGAAGGTCTTATGGGTTTGAAACGACATGAGGGTGAGTAATTAATGACAGAATTTTCATTTTTGGGTGAACTATCACTAAGTATGTAGATTAAGTATGTACAGTACGTCAAGTAACAAGTACAAGTATGTACAAATTGAGAATTTAAAGTTGGCATGAAATTAAAATTCACCCCATTTTCTAAATGCATGTTATAGATCTTATTATGAACAGTTCATCCATGCAGGTTTCATTTGTATACCTAGTAAGTTTAATCAAAATGTCATAACTCTATCTTCCAGTGAAATGCCGAACTTCTTCAATCATTTAGTGCGGTTAAACTCTGCCTTACGATCGCCTGCAATCTTGCATTCAAATCTGGTAGAACCAATTCCCAGCCCTGCACTTTTCTTTTTTTTTTTCGATAATCCATTTCACTCTGATTTACATTTGCAAGAAAAGCAAAGTTCATCATGACCATAAAGTGACAGAGCACCACAGACTAAAAAGTATCTAAACCGCTAAGAATAAAGAGTAACAAAGCCCTAGTCAGCAGTCTTCTGAGATACTCGTCTGACTTATGTAAATCAATTAAAATATTATTGTATAAATTAATGCACAATTCCAATAATGAATTAATTCATATGTTTCATAATTCACAATTCTCTTTTTTTCAGATCATTCATCTGATAAGCACTGATTGAGCCTTTAATTTAGTTGTATTGATCATAAAAAATATATAGGCTAACCCTAAACAACAAAAATGTTTAAATAAAAAGCGGTTTGAGCCCAGCCATTTCATGAAAAGTTGCTAGTAATTGTGAAACAACCCAAACTTTCCTGGCTGAATTAACCGCGACAACAGCTTCAGTCAAACTCAAACATTACTCATAACTCTAGCTCCCAGAGCTCACATGTCCCTGTGTGATGCAACAACAGAATGCGACCCGCAGAATAACATTCCTGTCTGTCAGTCACTGTGCCCGTCTGTAGGCTTCACTGAAAACAGCCCCCAACAACCACTTCCAACTAGTCCCCACCAAACACAAGGGTCAGTTTGTGCCTGTGTGGATGACGGGGTTATACTTCCTTTCCTTCTGCTCTGGCAATAAAACCTTTGCCGCCTCTTAAATCTACAGGAAACACATTCAAGTTTGAATGAATACAGTCCCACTAACAATAGTTTCACATCTCGTAGTCTCAGTGTGGGCAGAGAAAGAAGCTTGTCCCTGAGGGCATACATAACTAGATGTCTGTTTTAAAATCCTATGATGTTTTAAAACGTACTGAACCCACATTCAGGAAGACCGAGTAAGAATGCCAACAGTAAACGTTACAGTACAACAGCTATTAACTATGCCCTTCAGTCTCTTACTTCAGTCTTCTCATTGGTTTCACTAAAAATGAGAAAATAATGCAAAACAATACATGAGTCATGCAGTTTTCATTCAGAGTATTTGCGGGCAGCACCTTGACATAATAAAACATTCCAATAAATAATTATCTGTAATAGAGACAGAAATATGTTAAATCGATACAACAAAGTCAAAATCTCCTCTTTAAATGAATAATCCTATATCACTAACGTTAGCCTCCACTTGTTTTCTCATCTCGTCCGGTTGTTTCGATAGCGTTTGCCACATTCTTCAAACCACACAAACTATAAATACTCATCAATTTTAAGTCTGTGATTTTAAGAATACGCAGACATTTTTGTTCGTTTTAAAGTGAAACTTCAAGCACAGAGAGAGAGCTCCTAAGTAGCTGGCTAAGCTACATGACTGGCTCCCTCATGATACTCCACATGTGTCAGACTCGACCCAAACCTCAAGCATGATATTTCCCTCCGTCTCACTGTCTAACTACGCGTTTTAAACAACTTATCGAGGCTTAATTCATATGAAAGTGTTTTATTACAACGCAGGGTTACTGGGTAATGTAACTTTTTAATAACCGGCATTTACAAGTAAGTACATGTAAACACAAGTCAATCTTGCATCGGGAGGGCAGCGATAAACACAAATGTAAACTGAGAAAAACTATCATCTACAGATGGTTTCCCGCTTTAAAAGGCTACATTCTAAGAAACGCATGTGAAATATATAAGAAAGCAGGACGAGGACTTAGTACTAACCAGTTATTACTATTATCACTAACTGTAGGCCATAAACTAAACCCTTTTGGTGGTGTTTGAGCGGGCCTTATGGGCTTCACAGCGATGTTATCCCTTTCCTAAACGTTGTAAAAAAGGACGAAGTCGTACCCGGTACCTTCGCTTGTACTCACTCAATATATAGTCGGTGCTTGACTCCGCCCATCGGCTCTTTTAATAAGTTACCTTCAAAAGAAGGATGGCAGATTCGGACCAATCACAGCCCGACTTGCTTTTGCGTAACAACTGTAGCCTGTAACTCGAGGTGGGGGGTGGAATCCTCGCATGAGCAGGTCTGTGCTGTTTCTTTCAAGCTCTGAACTGTGTTCTTTACCTCAAAATTAATACCATAAAATAACGTCATATGTAAATCCACCTGCATATCTGACTACTTGAACGACAATAAAGGATAAAGGTGATACCATTTTTGTTTTTTTTGGACATGTAGGCCTATCATACTTTCATTTTTTTTGACATGTACCATGGTGTTACCATGTTATTCTTGGAAGTACCTTAGAGTACCATATAAGCACCATGATATAAGAAATTCATATCAAAATATTATGGCACTGCCATGTAATACCATCACTGTACCGTGGTACTGGCAAACTAATTTTTGCAAGGGGATAAACTACTGTTGCACATCAGCTGATCAAAAAACTAATTGAGTGATCAAATAAAATTCTAATATTTTTGATAAAAATCATAATTTACTCATGTAGCATTCATAAAAGTACAGATGGCACTATGATACAAAGATTTAGAGTACCATATAAGCACCATGATATAAGAAATTCATATCAAAATATTATGGCACTGCCATGTAATACCATCACTGTACCGTGGTACTGGCAAACAAATTTTTGCAAGGGGATAAACTACTGTTGCACATCAGCTGATCAAAAAACTAATTGAGTGATCAAATAAAATTCTAATATTTTTGATAAAAATCATAATTTACTCATGTAGCATTCATAAAAGTACAGATGGCACTATGATACAAAGCACATTTTCTTCACTGTGTAGGTTTTCATTCAGTAATAGAGATAAATGTGAGTGGACATAAATGTGTTATTAAGGGGAGGAAAGATTTTCCCGATGACCTGTGAAAGATTTCATTTCAAGTACGTGTGCTCCATTCAAGGTCATTTGTGGGAGGCAACAGAAGCAGAGAGGTGAGCCCACCTACACAAAGCCTGTACACATGCACGGAGCCATAGAGTTTCAGTCTCTCAATAGGGTATTTGAGAATATATGTCGTTTCACTTGTTTTTCTTCCTCGTAAATCATAGACAAGCTCCAAGAAGTGTCAATCTGCGCAGGTATTAATTCCTGCACACTGGGATTACTGGCTCTTTCTATGGGTTTGGGGATCTGTTTGACTCCAAAATCGCCATACATTACAGTTACATTTAACTAATCAGGTAAATGTAAATATGAATGTGTAAGTAATACAAGAATGTGATGTTAAAGCAGTGTATGCCTGAACTGCAGCATCTCTTAATAAATCATCAGCAAATAGGTGCGTGTATTGTTGTTGTGGGTGTGGAGCTTCAAACATGCGCACACAGGTGCTTCCACTGGGTCACTTATGAGCTGTAATCCATATAATTCCTCTCACTGCCATACATTTCTGACTTTTGAAGCTTAGCTCAAAGGACTTTCACTGAGAAAAGAATAATGCGTCATCATCACTGAACTTCTATTAAAGCTGTAAAAAATTATGAATGAGCTCAAATAATTGATCAATTAATATAACATCCTTATTCCCACACATTTCCATTTGTAAATGACAAGTTCACCAAAAAATGTAGGTCAGCATGTCATCGTGTAAGTCTACATTTTATGCATTTCTTTGCTCTGTGGAACACAAACTATTTAAAGAATGTTTCAACAGTTTTGTCCATGCAATGAAAGTCAGTGGGGTCCAGGATTATTAAAGTTATTGAAGACTAAAACTCAAATGAGAACAAATTCTTACTTGAAATAAACAT